TGGATCAACGAAGAATCCATGACCTGGAATCAATGATTTCCATGGAAGAAGAGAATGCGGAAGAAGACGTCTACGACGGCATAGAGCCCATGATTGAAATCGAGTTGGAGGGAGAAATCATGCAACTCCGAAGACTTGAACTTCCGATGGCTGAGGATGTGAATGGAGAGGAGGATGATTATGACTACTATGATGGCATCAAGCCAATGGAGCTGTTTGATTTGGAGGGGGAGATCATGGAGCTTCATGCTGTTGTCAGTGCCAACTAAGTCTATCCACGCCCCTATTTTCTTTCCATTCCCATTGTGATGACTTTCGTGTTTCGTTTATAGCAATCACTCACTCATCCTGTGATTTTCTTCTTGTAGTTTTTTCTGTGTTACCCTGTATTAACCTTCTCCCGGATAAATTGTTGATGGCCTAGAAATTCCTTATCATAGAAAGCTAGGCCATCTTGTTCATTTTTCCACCAACTGGCTTTCTCCCTGTGATGTCACCTCTTTTTCCTGTTCACTGAAAATCCATAAGCTCATTCCTTTTTTTTCTGAATTCTACTCTACTTACCTCTCTACTTCGCCCTCACCACCACCTCGCCACTTATTTTGTTGTTACCTATGACACTATAAGACACTCTCTTCTGATCCCACTGATTGCTTTTCTATTTTTGTCCTCCAGAAATGTGAATTCTCATTTTCTTTGATTTTTTTGAATCCAAAAAAAAAAAAGATTGAATTTGATCAGAATTGTACTTTTTCCACAAGAGAGTTTTGGATTGGTGAATAAATCGAGTTCTTAGATTCAGGTGCTTGGATTTAGACATTTTCAGGGACCTTAAATGCGGTTGTTTCTGATTTCAGACAAAATAGGAATTGTTTCTATTTTTGTATGAAGTGTTATACTGGAAAAAACCTGAACAAAGAAAGAAAGAAAGAAAGAAAGAAAGAGAGAGAGGGAGAGAGATCTGCTAGAGCTCTAAGCCAGAAAAATATGACACAAGGCTCTTTAGAACAGTTGAATGTCAAATATACTTCCAGAAAAATTCCAAAGATTGGTGATGAAACGACTGCTCCTGCGCTCAGTTTCAATTCAGAATACACTCCTATTTCCTGCTTATCCTTCCTCTACCTCTCACTCGTTCTCAAACCAAAACACACGATAATCTCTTTCCCCTTCTGCTCATTTCTCTCTTTTTCTTTCTCTTTGGCGTTTAATTCCAAAATCTAGATTCATTTCGTTCAGTTTTCCTTTCCCTTCAGTCTAGTTTATACTCTAAATCTTCCAGAATTCAAACAGAAAGACTACATTTTTCATATATAAATAGGAGTCTTATGGATGATGTCTCTGGCTGAACGAGAAAAGTAATTATTTTTTGTAGGTTCAGGTAGGTGCGATAGAATATAGAATATTTTAAACTTCCAAGAGAACTCCTAGAATCTGAGTTTGCAGCTATCAGTCTCACACTTGATCGCGATTCTGTATATGTTATTCTTCTAAATCTAGATAAAGAACGGGTAAAAAAAACCAATCTGAGGATGTTACTATTGTCTGGCTAGCTCAGTTTTCCCTAGTTGAACCCCTGCTTTTCCACCACATCGACGAAGTCTTTTTCTGTCATCAAGTGACGCGAAACATCCCATTTGTGTTCATTTCTTTTCCTGCGCCCACATTTTTGTATGCGACTACATTTCTGGGTAGCCCCACCCACACATCCCAAGAAAATGGCACGCCTCCTCATGTGTGCCCATTAATTATGTCCGATACCACTGTTCCAAAAAAGCGTAAATTCTTTTTTTTTTTGAAAATTCCATCCATTCTCAATCTTTAATTTTCATCTTGCTCTCTTTCTTACCCCATCTAAATCCTTTTTTACCCCATCTAACAAGGCTTTTTTGTAAGGCTCTCATTGAAGAATTACATTTTTTTTTCAAATTTTCCTGTTATTTTTCAAAAGGATTTTTCCGTTGTACCTTTTCCCGATTGTCCTAGTATTTTTTCCGGGAAATTTTCCAATTTTTCTTTCATTTCGCGCCAAATTTTTTACGCAACTTGGACCCGAAAAACCATTTTTCGCTGAAAAACGGCAAATACTCAACTGCTATGTATCTCTACTGCTATTTTCAGCCAAAAGCAGTTGAGAGAATAGTTATAGCCGTTGATCTATAGCAGAAGAGCCAAATGTCACAGTTGATACAGTAGCAGTTACAGCATAGCAGTTGATCACACCCATACCAGTTGAGAAATAGCAGTAGAGATACATAGAAGTTGATTATCTAAACTGAAAACTATGGGAAAAATAGGAAAAAAATTATGAAGAAAGTGATTCCTCCGCTCGTGTAGTCTGTGTGGACAACTTTTTCTTACAATTTGAAAGAAAATGTGTATTTTGTACGGTTTTCCAATGTTTTTACAGGCATCCTGACCAGTTTTTTAAAAAAAATTTTTCGAAAAAATAGTGGTTTCCGGTTTTTTCTTCCCAAAAAGTCCCGATATAAAAGTTTTTCAGATTTTTCCCCCTCCTACTTCTTTTCATGCTTTTCAGCGGCGTCAAATAGCTATTCTCATTTTTGTATCCGACTACTTTTAGCCACGCCCCCAAATCCCAGTACATGTGCCCATCAACTCCCTTTTGCACACCATTTCGTAAAATCCCAGTTTAATTTCCATCTTGCTCCCGCGTCCCTTCTTACCCCATCTAATAAGGCTGTCATTTGTCGCGCCTTCTTCTCCATCTCCTCCGTCCTCTTCGTCCATTTTTTTGCTTCTTCTTCTTCCTCTCAAACATTTTTCCTCCCCGCAAAACATCCAAATGTGTAGAATCTAGAGTCATTTCTCTACCCTCTCCACATTCCAAGTACTATTTCTCCCCGGGAGGGGACGGAGGGGACGCCTCTTGCACAACATATCGAAGCTGCGTCTTTCTTTCATCTGGACGAGAGATCTGCGGAAAAGATGGAGACGCAGACAGAGAGAGAGGGAAAAGGAGCAGTCATTCGCCTCTCCCTTGTCATCTGAAGGGGGTTTCCCTGGCAACATCTTCTCTATTCTCTTTCCGTTTTGATTTTTTATTTCTTTTTGCCTGCTTTTGCCTCGAACTCGTCGCTGTTTTGTTTTGGGGTGCCCTCTATTGCCCCGCCCCTTTACTCCCTTTGCCTCGGCCTCCTTGAATAATTAACAATGTATTCTTCCATTCTTCTCTATTCCTATTTTTCTCCAGCAGTAAGGTTTTCTTGAGGATTTTTCGACATTTTCGAAAAACTGTGGAAAACAGGTGCAAATTTTGCACCTGTCGTGCTGATTTGAGTCCCTGATTTTTTGAATTGATTTTTTTGAGGCTAGTTTTTAGAGAAAATGTGTGCTAGGTATTGGAAACAATGGTGTTCAGAGCCGTAATTGAATTTTGAAATTGAGATCTAGTTAAAGGAGGTGGGAACTCTCGTTGTATTGAGACTCGTATTGAGACTAAAAAAGGGCCCGGCCCATATAGGCAAGTAGAGTCGGCGCGCTTTCCGGGTCGCATAGCGCAGCCGGTAACGCTTTTGGTGTTCAGCCAAATGGACCCTAGGTTCAAACCCACCAGAGGTATCTACTGTCAAATTTTTAGAGAAATTGTTTTTTTGAGTTCCACCCTCCTTTAAGGTGAACACAGCTAATTGCAGGGGTTGATTGCGCAGCTTTGGTTGTGACTCTGACTGACCCGAAACGGGAAAAAATGTAAGATGTTTTGAGCCATAGTCAGATTTTTCGATCCAATTGGCCCAAAGTCAGGTATTTTGACCCACAGTCAGATTTTTTGGCCCAAAATCCGATTTTTCGACCCGAACTCAGATTTTTTTGACTGGAAGTTCGATTTTTCGCCCTAGAGTCAGATTTTCTGGCTCGAAGTCAGATTTTTTGGCCCAAAGTCAGATAATCTGATTTTGGTAATCAGTGTGCGGTAGAACAAAAAGTTCGTAGGTTCTGTAATCAAGCTTCGGCTACTAGCATTGAGTCAAATGACCAAACCGTTGAGTTTTTTAGAACGTATTTTTTAACTCCTCTCGACGAAATTCAAAAAAATTATTGACCGCCCAAGTAGTCTTATGGGTAACGCAGCTTCGGTTGTGACAGGTCGGAACCGAGTCGAGTCACATATTTCGACCAAGGGTTTTCAGTACAAAACTCATCTTGGAGAATTCGGGCGGTACAATGAGACGGCTTTGAATTCTCCAAGTATGTTGTCTTTCCTGGAAACGACAAGCCAAATAACGACCTAGCGCTGGGCGACAGCCGCTACGAAACTCGCTGAGACTCGCTTCGAAGTTAGCAAATCTACCTTCCCATATTGTCGTTATCTATCTTTCTCTCTCTCTCTCTCTCTCTCTCTCTCTCTCTCTCTTTTCCGATTTGAAACTCTCGTCATGTTGTCTAGGTTACATGTTCTCTGACATTTTTCGGTCATGTTGTTTTGCACTTTTCCTCCATTAGAGACTCACCCGAAATCTACGTGTTTCTCTCTGTTTCTCTCCTCCTCTACCCATATACCTTTCTCACGATATCAGTTCACTCAAAACTAATCTTTCAGTTTTCCTTCAACTTGGTCACTACTTCGTTTCTTATTTTCGTTTCTTTTTCCACAATCCACTTCCTCCAATAAAGCAGCAACTACACAGCAAGCAGACCGTCCCCAACGAGGCTAAGCATCGCTTGTAGTTTGTAGGTGCTAAGCCTCTCTACCAACTTGAGGACCAGGGCATGCCGTGCTCCCTTCCCACCGATTCGGAGGTCTCCGACTACTCAGACGATGAGCCCGATGACACCAACAACCCACGTCCATACGATTCCGACGACGAATTTTACGGCGCCGATGAGATGGATCGGAGAGCCACCGAGGACTTGTTCAGACGTTACATCAACAGACCAATAACTCCTCCAAGACCGGTTGTTAGACGCCAAGTTGGTGGAGATGTAAGTTTTCAGCACCGGGAATTCAAAAAAAGTGAAAAAAAAGAAAAAAAAAGATTTGACCACCGGGGGGATCGAACCCGCGCCGAACAATTCTGAAACAACAGCGTTAACCGCTGCACCACGCATACATTGCCACTAGAGATGGGGAGAGGACGTAGAGATTACGGCAACGGGCGCAAATCCGCTGTTCGAAGTAAAAACCTATAATTTTCAGAGAAATCCCGCTGGATTGGCGTCAAGAATCATTTCAATGGTGCATGATGTGAATCCAGAAGTGCCACTAATGAATGCGGATGGTCATTTGAATCCGGATGTAGGTTTTTCTTAAGACTGAAGCTGAAAATCGGAGAAGTTCCAAATTTAGGCAACGCTCGACATGCTATTAAGAGATGACGGCCAAGAAGAGAGGGGGCCAGTTGCAATACGAGGGAACAGCGGGACGCAGACAACTAATAGGGAGGTGGGTTTTGGTAGCTGCTTGTTTGGAAAATGTGGAGGCTTAGGAGGACTCTGTGGTATCGAAAATAGAGCGGCTTAGCTACTTTCTCAAATGTTTTGCAGAGGCTCAGCGCGACTTCAAACTAAAAAACCCAAAAACTCCACACCATAGCTATGCGAAAAGTTTCAGATCGGGCTTTTTCGGGATTTCAGTCATTTTCTGAAAAACTTTCGCCACTAAGAACGGGAAAACTGTTTTCCGCCAAAAAAATGATGGAAAACCCCGAAAAAAATCATGAAGAAAGAGATTAGTTTTTACAAACTACCGCGCGAAATGATAGCTTAGAAAACTCCGCTCGTGTAGGCTGCGTGGACAACTTTTTGCAAAAAGGTGTACTCTGAATGGTTTTTGACCGCCTTCTTATCCGTTATCCATTCTAAAAAATGCGATGAAAATATTCCAATAGAAAAAAAAAATTAGATTTTTCCATCCCAAAAAAATTCGAAAAAATCAGTTTTTCGGAACTTTTTTTTGGCACCAATCAAAAAAACTCGAAATATTTCCGCAGTCACACGGTAAATTTTTTTGTAGGTACAATTTTTTTTCTCGGTTTCTACGCTCCATCGCACACGGACTTTTACAAATTTCACATTGCGTCTTTAAAATGTGACAGTAAGCCACGCTTAGGCCGAAGGAGCGCGCACCATGCTTCCAGAGCACTTTTCAGTAATAACTTTCGATCAAATTCTGTCAATTTTATAATCAACATGATGTGAAGAAAAAGTTCTATTCAATTTGATTCAAAAAAAGCTTAGGCCCTGATTTTTAATTTTCCAACAAAATGAGAAAAATGCCTACGTATCGCTGAGTCGCCACGCAGTTAGCATGCGACCATACAGAAAGACAGAACCCGCGAATGAAACCTTTTGAAAACACGTACAAAAAAATTCACCGTGGCGACAGCACCTGCAGATCTACCGGGAACAATTTTCTGAAGGTTTTGTAGCTCTCATTAATATTTGCAGCTGGTCAAAAACCTATCAAAAACGTGTGAAAACTGTCAAAGTTACTGCCTGAAAACTTCAAATTTGTTGTAACTTTACTAGTTTTGGACTGTTTTCCATGGTTTTAAAGCTAACAATTTCATAGGTTCTATACAAATTAATTTTTCCAGAGAGATGAATATTTCGACCGGTACCTGGAAGATATGGAGCGTCGGATAGCATCCGCAAGAAATCCTCTTACCATCGAAACTCATTTTCCAGCACCGGAGCATGTAAGACTTAGAGGATAAGCAGCTTTTGTAGCTGCCTAGCCTTTGGGACCAAAATTTTCAACAAAAACTAATTTCCAGAGACCATCAGGCCGCCCATTCATGGTTGTGAGTAGAACAGTCAGACCAACACCATTCGAATCTTATGACATGAGTTTGGGAACTTTCTGGAGGGCACCGGAAGCACATCGGAGACCAGGAGAGGAGAATGGGGTACGGTTTTCATGTCGAACAAGTTTTGGGGAGGCTAAGAAAATTTTGTAGTTTGTAGTCCTCTGAAAATCCAAGGAGCGGTTAGAAGGTTACTGCTTTCGAAACATGGGTTTCATGAGCAGGGCTGTGCGAAAAATTTTCGAAATTTTTATTTTTTTTTCGGTTTTTTCGGTCATTTTTCGAAAAATTTTTTGGAAAAAACGGTTTTTTAGTTGTATTTTTTTAATGTTTTTATCCATTTTTCCTGAAAAAAAAACCGAAAAATTTCGAAAAAAATCAAAAATTCCGAAAAATCATTTTTCGATTTGTTTCGCTCTGAAAAATTCGAAAAAAAAAGTTTTTCAAATTTTGTCGGAACAAAATTTTCCGAAAAGTTTTTTTTCGATTTCATTTCCGCATTTGCCTGTTTTTCAGAGACCCAATGAAGCTGACCCAGCTGAACCATATGTCAGCCCATATGCCGGTTTGATTGGAGGCCTGCGAATGCCGTTTCTCCGAGACCATCGCCAACAACCATCTGTTGCTCTGGCACAGAGCTCCACTGGAGGGACTCAGGTAGGCTAGAACTCCAAAATCCAAACATTTTGGTCTAAAAATCATCAAAAACACTCGACAACTAGGGTAGTTACAGCGATTTTTGTAGTTTGTAGTTCCTTAGCCTCTACAAAATCTTGGAATCGAAGAATTTTCAGATCGATCAAAATGAGCCACGAGCTGGCCCAAATCAGCCACCAGCTAACCCAGCTCCAGGTGTCCGCCCATTGCCGGCTGCCATAGCTGATGATCCATATCAGATGCGTTTCATGGTAGTTCAAGAACCGACGGATGAAGAAAACAGGGTGAGTTTGTTTCGTAGTTTGTAGTTGCTAAGCCGCTACACATCTGCTGCTAAGCTGCACCAGACTTTCCAACCAGTAAGGCATATCTAGAGCAAATGCGCTCTATCGGAGAATTGTTTGGCCCCATTCCCTGTGGTTCTTGTATCATTTCCCCATGATTCTAGCTCATTTTCCTCAGTTGTTAGGTAAAAATGTACAGAAAAGAACATTTCCAGACGGTTCCACATGTCGAACAAGCCACCGGACCAAATAGAGAAGCTAGACAACCAGATCCTCCCCCACCAAACGACCATCAACGTTCATCAAGATTCCGTTACATCATGGGACGGCAATATTCGCGACCAACCAGTGATGGACTTGTTATTGACACATTGCCCAATGGGGATAGGGTTCGGAGGAATGGGAGTGAATAGGTGCTCGCAGCTGTGATTTTACTCAGAGAAGTCTTGGTTTTGGCCTTGCTGAGTTCAATCATAACGATTTTTACTTCCTTTTCTTGTAACATTTAAGCTATTTTAAGATTAGTGTTGAAAATGAGTTTTGTAGTGTCAAGCTAAGTACTGTAATCCGAGCTCTACTTTAGCAGTAGCAAGTAAGACGCAAATTTTTCGAAATTCTCTCTTTTCATTTTCGATTATCAATCAAACTTTGTGTTTGCAAAAGTAATCTATCAAATATTGCTTCAGACCCCCCCCTCTTTTCTTATTATTCTCCAATATTAATTTGTTCGTACCTCCCTCTAAGCTTTAGGCTGCTAATCACGGAAAAATGCGCTTTAATGGATGCCACAAAAGTAGGATTAAAGTGCAATTTTTTTCATTTTTCAATAGCTAAGCTTCTTGCTTACCAACTTTTTTTGCTACCTGATACCAATTATAATCCCCTTCGTTTTCCTTGTTCTGACTGCCCCACCATACCGTTCCATTTACCTGTTCGCCTTTTTCCTGTGATTTTATAATCTCATAATTTATTTTTTTCCCTTTTCTTCATTTTTGATGTGATTAACGAAATTTCAACAATCAAAATTTCAAATTTCATACCGATCATTCCGATCCCATCCAATATTTTTTATCCTACTTTTCTGGTCTGTCCCATTCCATGTTTCCCCCTAAATTTCAACTTTTCCTTGGTATCATCTCCGTGATAATTACAGCTTTCCCTTCAATATTTTTCCAGTAAATCGATGCATGTACTGATGATTGATTCGTGATATAGAAAATCCCAACTCCCCACCCCCTCTCACCCGTTTTCACCAGTCCAAAGGGAAGCGATGTGCTTAAGAATTTCTATTTTTTTCTCTGTGTTTTTTTTTTTCAATAACAATAAAATGATCGATAAATTAATAAATGAATATAAATTTTTTTCAGATAAATACTTTGAGGCTGCCCCAAATCAGAATTGGTCGAATCAGAACCAAACCTTGCGAGGGCATTGCTTCTGGATAACCAGGGAATATGGATGTAAGATATTGTAGAGAAAAAATTCTCTATCGAATGGTATAAATTTCATATAGGGTTTCTTCAGAAAATGAGCACAAAAAAGCTCTAAAACCGCAGATTTCAGTACTGAAAATTTGAATTTACCTTTTTTTTTTGAGAAAAACAATCCGAAACAACCATTTGTTATTAATTTCAATCGATAGAGTTTTTTTTCCTCATCAATTATACATATTTACATCCTCCGTTTTTCCAGAATCAGATTCTGATTTGGCCGCTTCTGATCCGGGGTAGCCTCTATACTTTCACAATTTCAGAAAAGATTTTCATGAGCGTCACTATTTGCATAACATATATAACTGAAAGTTTCTTTCTACCATTTTTTTTTTCTTGATTCGTCATCAAAAAATGTATCAAAAGTCAACACACAACCCATTTCGCCTACCCTTGGTCGTTGTGACTGATAAGAAAATCATTATTCAGTTTGTTCCTGCTCAAACTCACAGAAAGCAAGAAATGCCGCCTTCTCTAATCGATATGCCGAACATTGTGATGAATAGAATACTGAAGGAGCTGGATTTTCGAGCGATGTAAGTCCATTGAAATTAGTGAATCCTAAAAGGCTCAAAATTCGAACAAAGTGAAAAAAAAAACGTTCCGGTAAATGGGTTTTCCGATATCTTCCAAAATATTCTTTGCAAAAAAAGTTTGAAAAATTGAAAAAAATTCCGAAAGATGCAGATAAACAGAAATCAATTTGATAATTTTTGCTCGAATTATTTGATGCCGGTTGCTAATTCCCTTGAGACTTTGATTAAATTCTGGCTTTTTTTCTCAAATATTAAGTCCGAATTGCATAAAAAAAATCACATCTTAAGAGTAGGATTTCAATGAAATGCTTCCCGACTCCGGATTTTCTCCCGGAAAA